CCACCTAAAATCTTGCCACATTACTAGTGTGTAGGAGTTCATGAAAGTTTAAGGCAATGTTTTTTATGCAACAGATGAAGTCTAATGACTAATACAGACAAGTTAAAGTCCCTCATGACACTTCCACACCCCCTTCCCACATTTATTTCCCACAGAGAGCAGTTGATGCTGTAGGAAGAGGACTTCTCAGAAGACAAGGGATGGTTCTCCTGGAGGCTTTGGGCATGTTGTATGGGCCTGTGAGTCCACTATCTGTGAAATGTGAAGATGGGGAGGCTACTAGAGATGTCCAGAAGTTCCAACTCAGGTGATTAATAAGGTCTTTCTTCCCTGGTTTTCTTTTCTTTTTTTTTTTTTTTTTTTTGTCTTTTTCTTTTTTATCGGTACCAGGGATCGAACTCACGACTGCCTGCTTTCAAGGCAGGCGCTTATGCCACTGAGCTAAATCCCCAGCCCCTCTTCCCTGGTTTTCTGATGGTGGTATAAGGGCACAATTATAGAATAGCAAACTTATAGACACTTTATAGCAAAAGTTAAAAATCAGTTAGTGGCCTGGAACTGTGCTCATGCTGCCTATCACATAGCTAACCTGTGGGGCTCAGTTAGCCTTGACTGACTTGGTCTAGCTTCTTCTCCCTGATGACACACTAGGTCAACTTGGGTGTGTCCTGCTGCAATGCTTGTGTTTTTCCCTACTTAGAAAAATATATATTGTTTCCAACTTGCTTCAAGAACTTTATATTGGGGACAGACTGGCCCAGTCAAGGACACATTTAACTGTACTTGCTCCATTTTAAACCTCCTCACTTTCTTCCCAAGAATCTACTTAGAACTCGTTTTGCTTGACAACATATGACTCAATGCATCTGGCCAATCATGTAAAATAACCTGCCATCAGCCTTGTACTTCCTGCTTGTGAAATGCATTTAAATGGGGTTGGCATTTTGGAACTGATTCCCACCAGCCCACTAGCATAACAAAAGTTGCCATTTTAACTCCTCAGTGCAGAATCTTCCAAATGGTTTGATATTGGTTTTTCTACAACAGTGGTACCCATAAGTTATGAATGGATTAAAATGCCAGTAATTAGGAGTGTCATGGTCCATATTCTGTTGCTATAACTGAATACCACAATGAGAAATGAAGGGCCTTCAAGCTGTGTTTGTGGTAGAGGATATCACGTGCTGAGGCATCGCCAGCCTTGCTGGGGAGCACACTTCTGAGCACCCACTATCTCTCCAGTCCAAGCAGGCTGGCCCATTCCTAAGGCCCAAGCCTGAAGATCTTTACTTCCCACAGGTGATACCTCTGCACACTGCTGCATGAGGTCCTCATGTGAGCTTTTGGGGGACACATGCAAATCACAACAGGGAGGAAGGCAGAATGTAAAACTGTATTGTTGTAGAATGTAAAACCAAAATATCTAAGAAACTAGAAAAGATCCAACCCAGGCTGACTCCTGAATTCTTTTATTAAACAACTATTTCACAGCAGACATGTTTCAGCCCCTGAGGAATGAGAAGAGCCAAAGTCCTATCTTCAGGGTGGATGAGTCCACAGAGAGCAGATGTCTGTTAACAACTGCATAGGAAAAATACAAGTGAGAGGTGAGAGTGAGGGCAGTGCTCTGTACATAGGGGATGAGAGAAGATTCTCTAATATGCAGGCCTAGAAACAAAGACTAGTGAACACTAGACTCTAGTCCTCTTAGGCTGGAATGTCCCAGGCAGGAGACATGGCCTGTCCTAAAGATTGTTGGCCAAAGCTAGGAAGACACCCTGGGGAGTTCAGTCTATTTGTGAGTGGAGTATGGGCAGCTTGCAGGAGGGGCTGTGATGGTCACTGAGGTCACAGCTGGGTGTTGACTCCCCCTAGCCTGTAGCCAGAACGAGTTGTGCTTTCCAAGCCAGCAAGTCCATGTGGGTTCTCCTGTCCTGTTGTGCAGGACCCTGAAAGTTAAAACAGAACTTGGAGCTTCTCTTAATATTTTAGTTTCATTTTAAACCTCACAGTATAGCCCAGTGACTAAGCATGGGACACGGAGCCAGACTGCCTGAGCTCCCATCTGATTGTAGTGTATCCTGGCAAGTTATATAAACTCTTCCAGCCTCAGTTTCTTCACCTGTAAAATAAGAGATGTGCAAACACTACTGACGGCTAAGTGTAGGTCAACACAAGCAGGTGAAACTCCTGAGAACTGCAGCCGAGGTATCTTAATCCATTTGCTGTTACTAACAATAAATGCAATGTAAATACAATACGATTAACTGGGTAAGTTTTAAGGAAAAGAGTTTATTTCTCTGATAATTTTTGGAGCCTCCAGGGCTCGAATCCAGTGATGACATTCTTGATGGCAGAAGCTTAATGTATCGCATGGGAAGAGACAGGAAGCAGGTTGTCTCTTCTGGTCTTTCCCTCTTCTTAAAAAGCCACCAGGATTCAGTCGTGGGCTCCACCCTGCTGACCTATCCTATCCTAACACCTCCCAAAAAGCTGCCTCTAAACACATGATTGGATTAAGTTTCTATCCTCATGACACCTTCCAGTGGAGACCAAATTTCAATGCATGAGGCCTTGGGAAACATACAAAACCACATCCAATCCACGGCACAAAAAGAGTCACACCCACTGCACATTCCCACAGATGTCTGAGCCCTTATACTGGGCATGGAATGGGAGGCCCAGAGGAAGCATCCCTTGGGAGCAGCCACCATGGCAGGAAACACACAAAACTCAACCAGGCTCTTCCCTAAAAACAAGGCAAATACTCTCTACTGAGATGGGAGGCAGGAAGCTGTTCCAGTTCATCAGAGGCTGTTCCTGCTGGGGAAGAAGGATACAGGGAAACACTAATGTCTAGGCCCTCCAAAGGCTGCCTCAAACTGAGACTGAAACAGAGTGTTTGTTACTTGTCACCCCGCCCCATGCCTGGTGACAAGTAACACTCTCTACCTTAAGGGAGAGCCATGAATGGGGAGAAGACCCTCTGTGGCAGAGGCCATAGGACAGGCATAAAGCTGGGGGTGGAACAGGAACATCATGACATTGGTTGCCACCTAAGAGCACCGGAGCTTGAAGTGAGTCTGAAGCTAGCAGGACAGGGACAGGAAATCCAAATCCAGCTTAGTTTACAGCAGGGCAGATGCAGGCCCTCACACCAGGGGGCTAGTGGGAGAGACGTGCTTATTTCAAGAAGTAAACACCTATGCTGCTCTACACCTGTCCACCATTCAATCAAAGGTGATAAGATACCAAAAAGGAGGCAAAAACAATTCACTGTCAAGAAACAAATCAATGAACTGAGCCAGACTCTGGTGCTCTACCTGCATGAGTAGAAGGAGAATTTCAGTAGAGATGGAAACTACACGGAAGAGTTAAATGGAAATGGAGCAAGAAGATGAAGAAGAAGAGGAGGAGGCAGAAGAGGGAGGAGGCAGAGGAAGAAGAGGAAGAAGGAGAAGGAAAACACATGCCGTGCTGGGCCTATGAGCTGACCCAACTCAGCTGCAGAAAGAACCAGTGAACTTGAACCTGGTACAAATTATTCAAACCGAATCACAAAAAGAAAACAAAACCATAAGACACCAGAACTTTGGAACAGTATTAAACAGTTTAAGAGATGATGACTGATATTTTTCTTTAAAAAATGAAAAAAAATATCATGCTATACAAATCTCAGAAAACCCCAAACAGGACCAGTAAAAAAATGAAGTTAACTGGAACAAAGAGCTCTTAAACATATATTCCAACAGTTGCAAAGGTAAGATACAGAGGAAAACTATAAATGCATAAAAAATGTTCAGCCTCTTTGACCATCAGAGAAATGTAGATTAAAACAACACTGAGATTACACCTCACTCTAGAAAGAATGATTGTTATTATCAAGAAATTAAAAAAAAATGCTGGTGAGGCTGAATTAGTTAAAAGCGTAATAAATGTTGTTTTACTTTGTTTTGTTTTGTGGGTTTTTTTTTTTTTTTTTTTGAGACAGAGTCTCACTGTGTAGTTTAGGTTGGCCTTGAGTTCATTATCAACCCAGGCTGGCCTTAAACTCCTGGCAGTGTCACCATGAGCATGTGCCACCACACTGGACCAATTGTTCTTTTCTTGAGTGGTAAAAATATATACATACACCTGTGAATCCATTTACATACTGGGAATTACTACTTTAATACCTCCATTAATTACTTCCACTGCTAATGAAAAAAATGCTTCTGTCTTTCTGGGAAGAAATACAGTCTTAAATTTTTATTAAAAAGTACCAATTGTTAAAAAAAAAAAATAGCTGCAAGCGAAGTGTAGTGGTGCACACTTACAACCCCAGCACTCTGGGAGGCTCAGGCAGGAGACCTGCCAGCTACACTGTAGCTCACCCAGGCAATTTAGCAAGACCTTGTCAAAAAAAGAAAGAAAGAAAACAGAAGAAAAGCAAAAGAGGGAGACAGAGATTTAGCTCAGTGGCACATTGCCTGCCTAGCAAGCACCAGGTCATGAGTTTGATTCCCGGTACCAAAAAAAGAAAAAACAAAAACCAAAAAACCCCGTCAAGTCAGTCTTGCTGAGGTCCAGTGAACACCCATCCTTTCTTCAGAGAGATTCGCCATCGTTCCAGTTTTCCTCTACTTCCCGTGTGTCAGCTCCACGCCCATGATGCACTCACACGTACATTCACGTGCACGCACATGCATATGCACGTAAACACGCACACGCGTGCTTCGTGCCCTCACGACGTGGAGGAGGAACTGGCCTTTGTAAGGGGCGCGCAGACCACGCAGCCCTCTCTCCGGGACCCCGCCAACACCCCGCCCCCTGCAGGCACCGCCCATCCTGCGGCTTCCCTCCTAAGCGCCCCTGAGAAGCCGAGCCCGCAGGTCGGCTGCCTGCGACCCCAGGGCTCGCGAGTTCTAGGGAGGTGTTCGGCCTGCAGCTGCCTTGGCCGAGCCGGAGCCAGGGGCGCGAGGGGCGAACGCCCGGGTCCGTCAGAGGGAAGACACGCCAGACCCTGGAGGAGACGGCAGCCAGCACGTTTATTCGGACAGGGGGCTCCCCGGGTTTGTGCAGGCGGTGTCGCCCTACGGCTTGCACTGGGTCAGGGGACGAAGAGGGTCCGCCCTCCACCCGGCGTCGCTCTGCCTCCTCTCTTTCCTCCCTCTCCTCTGTCGGTCTCAGCCTCCTTCCCTGGGCACCTCACAGTCTCTCCCCACTTCTCTCGGTCGCCCCCAGACCCCGACTTTCACGCGCCCGGGCTCCAGTCCTGCGCGGGCGCGCACACCACGCCCAGGCCGCCGCCGGTCCCCGCGCAGCGCCCCCACGCGTCCTGACCCGCGGCGGGGCCGGGGGTGTCCGGGGTGCCCGCGCTCTCCTGGGTTGGCGCCCTGCGCTCTGGGAAGCAGAAGCTGCACGTCTCCACCGGTTCGGGCGATACGCAGGCGAGGCCACCAGCTTCCGTCGCGGGGTCTGTGGGGACAGAGGGCATCGGCTGCGGTGGGGTGGGGGAGACGCTGTACCTCTCCCTCAGGCGGCCCAGCCTGGCCTCCAGTAGTCTCCCCGGATCTAGGAACCAAGGGACCCCCTGGGGCACCTCGGGCTCGCCCCACCACGTGCTCTGACCCGGGCAGACTCAGGCTTTCAGATCTCACATCTGCTCCCACCCCAAACCGGCCAACTCCCCTGTGCATCCCCACATCCACTCCTGGGCGACCTTTTCCCCTCCTCCTGGTCTCATCCATGGAGCCTGCCTCCCTGAGGCTGGCCACCTGCACCAACCAGTCCCGCTCCCAGGTGTTTTAAGGTGGTCTAACCTTTGGGTAAAATATGCCCTGCACCTCTCCTCAAAATGGCAAAATGCTGCCCATGTAGAAGCAAGGGCAGCGATAGATTGCAGGGATGGCCCAAGACTTGTCACAAGCAGTGCAAAGGACAGTAGCCTAGTTTTAAACACTCACCGTGGGAGGACTTGTCTTGCAGTCTGCACAGTCCTGTGGAGGGCTGGCTGGAGAGCACATCACCCCTTCTCTTGAGGAAACAGGCCACTGCCACCAGGAAGCAGCAGATGATGGCACAGAGACAGAGCCCCAGTGTACAGTAGACCAGGGCCAGCTGGTCACTGCTCAGCTTTGGACCTAGAGGTGCTAAAAGACAGCAGAAGACCCTGGTTTCAGGAGGACCCTCACTCTCCAGGGCCAGCCATAAAGTGCCTCCCCCTTCAGGCAGCAGCCACCACCCACCATCCCCAGCCCATACCCACAGGCCCATGTGGCCCTGGTCTTTCTCTTCCCATTAGGCCCAAACAATCCACATGGCCAGTGCCAGCCCCAGCCCGTTGCAGGGTCCTCTGGCTGATAGAGAGCTGGATTTCTTTTCTGACCTGAGGCCTTTCTGGATCCTTGAGGATTTGACTCCCCTACCCCATACTGAGAGCAAAGCTGAGCCTGTCTGGAGCTGGCCCTTTCCATCGTGCGCACTTGCTGGGAAGACAAATGGAGACAGTTCCAGAGGTGGGTGGATGAGAGTATGGACAGCAGTCCAGGGAAGATGTCAGCAGGGCCAGAGGGATCACAGGGGAGCCGGGGATACAGCTGGCAACAAGGAGGGAACTGGGAAGGAGCCTCCACTGAATGCCACAGGAAGACCCAGCTCAGGATCAAAGCCCTCTCTTGACATTTCTTCCAGTCCCAAACTCTGGTCCCTGGAATTGAGGCATGTTCTCCCATTTTAAGTTTTGAGATGCAATTGATATATTATCAAATTCACCACTTAAAAGTATATACTTTGGTGGCAGTGACACATTCTCAAGATGCTCCCCCATTCCCAGTCTAATTTGAGACCATTTCTGTCATCCAGAAACAATTTCCATCCCATGAGCAGTCACTCCCCAACCCTTTTCCCCTGCACCCTGGCAACCCTCATTGGCTCTCTGTCCCTGTGAGGCATGTGTTCTGGATCCTTTGCATAAATGGGAGCACACACGATGTGGCCTTTTGTATCTGGCCTCTGTCACTGGCATCATGTTTCCAAGGCCTGCCTGTGTGGGGTCGCACATTCATTTCTGTGCATGTGGCTGAGTAGTATTGTATTGTGTAGACAGTGCCTCCTTTTGGATAACACTGTGATGAGCGTGCATGCACAAATCTGTGTGGACGTTTGTTCTCAGTTGTTTTGGAGTCTGTGTCCAGGAGAGTGTTTCAGATCACAGGATGCCTTGATTGACTTGTTAACCAAGTCCCAGACTATGGTGCACAGCGCCCCCACCCTCTCACAGTCCTTTTTGCAGATGATGCTTTGTTCACATTCACAGTTTTAAACCTGCAGCTGGGAGCAGGTCGGACTCCCCCACACCAGTGCTCTGACATGTCAGACAGGGGCCTCCAAGCCAGTGCTGCCCCTCACTTGAGCATATGGTCTACACCACAGGAGTTCATAAAGTCGGGGCTGGCAGGACTCCTACTGCTTATCTGGCAGTGGTAGTCAGGAGTCTGAGTGAGCTGGCATCGCTGTGGTGCTGTCCTTCATGTCCGGAGCCCATGGAGGAGGGAAGAGAGGGGACTCGGGCCCAAACCCAGTGGGAATGTCCCCTAATCCTGTGGCTCAGAAGATGCTGCCATACATCAGGAGCCAGGGGCTCTGCTCCCACTGGCCTCTGGTATAAAATGAAAACTTCATACTGGCTGGATCAGTGGGGGAAAGCTGGCGGGATTCACAGCAGAGACAGAATGCCAGCCACAAGACAGCTCCCGAGTGGAAACGGGCTGCTGGGTTGACCCAAGGAGGCAACTTAAATGTGTATGTGTTTCAGATGTTTTCGGCCTGAGGTTTAAGAAGGCAGACCACACTCCACCACTGTGGCAGTGAGTGTTCAAAGCTGAGTGTCCAGGGACTGTCCCTGGCACTGTCCTCTCTAGGCTCATGAAAGCCCCCAAGGGAGATCAGTAGACCTGCCCAGCTGAACCCCATCCCCGCAGAACAGTGAGAGGTGATAAAGTGGCTGTGGATTTTAGGGCACTAGCTTCAAGTGGCTTTATGTGTCCTGATGGTTGAAGCACAGAGCCTTTGCCCCAAGGGAGTGAGGACCTGTCCCTGCCTTTCTTTGCTCATCTTGCCTGTTTGACCTGAGTTTTCCTTTTTTTTTTTTTTTTTTGTCTTTTTCATTTTTATCGGTACTGGGGATCGAACTCACGACCGCCTGCTTGCAAGGCAGGTGCTTATGCCGCTGAGCTAAACCCCCAGCCCCAATTTTTCTTTTTTTTTTTTTTTTTGTCTGAGTTTTCCTGTTAGGAATGAAAATAGTTCCTGCTTGGAGACCTGTCCTTAAGATATTCTTTTGAAAGCTTCTGGACTAAGAGGAAAAATACACATTAAAATTACAAAAAAAAAAAAAAAAAGTCATTTTCTACACAAAAGGATATTGAAAAACAGGGGCCTTACACATTTCTGAGGGCCATGTGGAACCACCTAGCACTGTTTCAAGAGGACTTTGCTGACTCCAGATGGCTGCCAGTTTGCCTATACGGCTGTGTCCTCCCAAATGCACGCAGATACAATAGTCAGACTCAACACAGCCCGTAAGGTATACGCACTCACCAAAATGAAGGAGGTGGGTGCATGTGTTTTGAGTTCCACCACTAGGAGCAACACAGTGAGCTAGCCACTCTGATGCCACCACACTGAGGAGACATAAATGTGCCTCCACCTAAGATTATGTTGGAAGACCAGAAAAGAAACTGCTAACTGGCATTGCTTCTGGAGAAAGCCAGCAGCCTGGAGATGGAATGGAAAATCTGTGGGGAACAGCTGCTCTTGAATGTTTGGTTTTGGTCCTGGGATGGAAGCCAGGCCCTTGTACGTGCTAGGCCAAGGTTCTACCATGGAGCTATATCCTCAGCTCATATCTCTAAAGAAAAGATGGGAGGTCATAGGGCAAGGTTCAGCTGCTCTCAGGCCGTGCCATACGGCCGGGCTTGGTTACTGAGACTGGTGAGAGTGAACACCTGGCATCTCTGAGGAACAGGGCACACTTCTCAGTTTTGTCCACCTCAGAACTGCCTTCTGCTGGCCTTTTGTGATCTCCCTGAGTCAAGGCCCACCCCTATGGAGTGGAGAAGTCCTCACACTATGGACCACTCACTGCTAAGTTGTGAGAGAGGGCAATGCCCCTTCTCTGTCTTCCTGGGGCAGACGGCCCAGGGTGCAGTTCCAAGGTTCGACCACCAGGGGCGCCACGCATAGTTTCCGTCTGCTTGAGAGCCAGGTGGGCCCTGGTGCAAACCTGTTATTTTTAAACCTACTCGATTTGTTTCGTTTTTAGGAACTGTTTTCAAAACCATCTCTCACCTAAGAATAGAATTTCCCCACCCTGCCGATGCACGTGGCTCAGACTGTGCAGTTCAGTTGCGTCATTACCTGTCCTTTGGGGGGCTGTGTTCAGGAAACATGATATTCCCTCTCCTCCACATTACTTTGCCTTGGTGAGATAATAACAAGTGAATCCATAGGAGGCCGTGAGGTCTGGGTGGGAAGTTCAGTAATCTCTAGGACCCCCATTCATCTACCCTCAGCTAGCCACCGGGAGGGAGCCGGGGAGAGGTGGATAGGGGTGGGCAGAGCCTTGGGAGCCCTAGTACCTGTGCCTGGCTTGGGGCTCCCCTCCATCCCAGGAGACTCCAGCAGCCTCGCGTCCACCTGGCACCCTAGGTTCCCTTGGACCCTCAGCTCTTTGCTTCTCTCCTGCATTGTCTCTTTCCTCTGAGTTCTATGCATGCTGGGTGAGATTTGGTTCAATGTGTGGTGCAGAGGGGTTTCCCCCATGAGCCAGCAGCCTCACCTTAGGTCTCAGTGGGCCTCCCCTGCCAAAGACCCTCCTGCCCCCTGGGTGTGGGTGTGTGTGCGCCAGCGGGGGTAAGGGTGCGCGGCAGCAGCCCTCACATTTGAAGTGTGGACTTTCACCAGAAACCCCAGTTTCCAGAATGAAACATCGCCTACTCCACCCACCTCTGGAATCCCCTAGTCTTTCTGGGCCCACTTCTGGAGTGATTCTGTCCTGCTGGAGGGAGGGGGTTGGTCTGGCTGCACCAGTACCCCTGTTTCCAGCCCTCTGCTGGCCACTGGGTCACACCTGCTGGCCTTTGTGGGTCAGTTATCTCTACTGCCTCCCTGGAGCCTACTTCACCTGCTGCCTTTTCTTTGGCTCTGTTTAGAGCCTAATCTCTTCCCTTTTGGTCACTTGCCCGTCTCAGCAAGTCCCAGGACCATGGCTTCAGCCCTGGAAAGGCAAGATGGGAGTACTGTCCTGCTTCCATGATGACATTCCAGGGACAGCCAGGACAAAAAGAGAAAACCTTTCGGGCACAGAGACAAAAACCAAATGATAAAACCAACACTGTTCCGTATTTAAAAGTAAATGAACCTTTGACAAGTTCCTGGACCAGATGCCACGTGAGCCCTGACCCTGGCAGCTCTAGGCACTAAGGTCTAATCCAGGTCTGGACTTAAAAGCCATGATCCTTGCATAGACAAGGATCTGTTTGGTTCTCCCTAGGAAGAGGTGTTAAAGAAATCATAGGCAGACATCACCGTGGACTAAGCCCCTGTACTGGCTAAAACAGGCCAAATATCAAAATGATGTCACTCATGCTAACTTTCCATTTAGGTGCATGCTGAACCTAAGCTGTTCTTCTGTCTTTCTGAGAAATCAGGATTACAGATGCACCAGCCGAATTACTCCAGCAGAAGTTCCCTCCGTCGTAATCTCCCATGCAAAAGTCGACCTGAAGCAGCCTGACACTAACTAATCCTCTTGTTACTGTTCTGCCTCCCAGTCCCTACCTCACAAGTACTGAAACTTGAAACAATCAGACTACTTGTTATTTGTTTCTATTTCTTTTTTCTGCTCAGCTCACTGGAATTAAATATTCTGTTTTACGGAATGAAATATTTTAAAATTCTAAAGCCAAAAATAAAGCCACTTAGGATTGTTAAAGTAATTGTTGTCATGTTGTCATTGGACAGGACCAACTGCAAACCTGCTCATCTTAGGTCATGATGTGTCCTTCGCTTTAAATGCTGACCGTGCTTGCTTGGTGGCCTGGGAGCTCATACCCAGCACCTCACTTGACCTCCCTTCAAATTCAACACCATGGCCCTCTGGCTCCCACACCCTGCTCCCTGGACCTGCACTCCACCACTTCTGGCGGGTCCACATTTGTCTGGTGGAGTCAAATCACTTGAGTGAGAGGACAGAGGCCTGGCAGATGGGTGGACTAAATGGGAGGCCAGAAGAAGGGCTCAGGCTTGTCCTCAGGGACAGTGAGAGAATAGTTTGAAGCCTGCAGTGTTGGGTATCAGGAGCCCACAGTCTTCCTCACCCACCAGAGCAGAGAAGGTCACCAGGGGCTGGATAAGTCCTGCCCTAGAGCCCTGGGGGAAGCAGTGATGCTGTCACATGAGAAAATCACAGTAAAGGACAAAACCAGTCATCAGGACACTGCTTTTCCTGCCTAATGTAGCCATAAACTTCTTAGTATTACCGTTTCCTTCTCATGCTTAGGAAGCTTTCACCTGCTCAGCTGCGGAGAGCAGGGGAAGGATTTCTGGACAGGAGAAATACTGTAACTTCTAGTGTTTCATTGAACCATAGGTTGACTTTAGATAATGATAATGTACTGTACATTTTTTTTAAAATTAGGAGAAAATAATTTTGATTTTGCCACAAAGAAATGATAAACGTTTGAGAAGATAAAGGTTCCCTGCTTGACCATTATGAAATATACACATGTATCAAAACCAATTCATTGTAAACCACAAGTATGCATACTTTTTGTGTGTCAATTAAAATAAATAAAAATGAAAAAGAACTTGCATAGTCCCAGCAGCCCTGATTATGAGGCTCCCACTCACTAGCCAGGACCTTTTTTCTACTCTCTTCTTGTCCACAGACTTTTGGAAATTATGTCTAAATTGTTTTCTTCTCCTAGGATGGCTGCCCTGACTTCCGGCCACTTGCTGGACTCTGTGCTCCCTAAAGTGCAGGCTCTTCTTATCTTACCCATTCTGACCCTCAGAGCTCATGCCAGCTGATCCCAGTGGCTTACCTGGACCCGTCTCTGAGCCTCGGGGCTCCAGTCCCTGGTACTGTCCCAAGTTATCAGACCGGGCATCCGTCTCCCCAGCCTGCGATCTCCAGACCCCTGAAGGGAGGTTCCCCTGGCTTCGGAGCTTGTTCTCACAGAAGTGTGCACACTGCTTGGGGTGCTGCCCACAGATGGAGATACAGCTGATGCAGTCTCTCAGGAGATGGTCATAGTACTTGCCCTGCTCCTTGCGGCAGTTGAGTGACTCTGGGAAACAGAAATGAGAGATGCCACAGGCCACAAAAGCTCTGACCCGGCCTCAGAGAGCATCAAAGTAAAAAGAAACAAACAGCCCAATTCTCAAAAGCAATTCCAGAACAACTCAGATCTTTTTTTTTTTCACAAGAAACAAATTGAAGGCTATTCATCACCCTCTAAGTACTGTTCTAGCTGCACTGCCTGCATTTTGATATACAGCATTTTCTCTGTATCTACTTCAAAATGATTTCTTTTTTGTTTTGATTTCTTCTTTGACCTATAGTCTTTAAAAGTGCATTTCTTAGTTTCCAAACATATGAAATTTTTTACTTATCTTTTCTATATTATATTATAAGATCATTACTTGTATCTTTCAAACCTCTTCAAGGAAAAATGTTTCAAATTAGCATAAAGAATGTAGAAGGAAAGCCAGAATCCTCTGGCAAGTTGGGAGAAAAGGCTGAGAGGAACATCAGAAAGCTCACATTAATAGTGCTTGTTCGGGGGGCTGGATATTTAGCTCGGCAGCACAAATGCCTGCCTTGCATGTGCAAGGTCATGAGTTCGATCCCTGGTACTAAAGGAAAAAAAAAAAGACCTAATAGTGCTTGTTCAGTCTTAAAAATCAGTGAGAATGGCAGCAGTTTAAACGGCCTTGATGAGAAGGGGCAGATGTTAAGTGAATTAAAGCCCACGCACACCTGTCTCAAGGGAGCACAGCAGACCCAGCTCTGTGAGCTTGAGAGAAATGTACTGGGGAGTGAGGGTAGCCCAGGAGTGGAGCACTCACCAGCACCCATGAGGCCCTGAATGCCAGTCACAGTACAGGGGTGGAGGGACAGGGAAAAAGAAAACTATTTGAGACAATCATTTACCATTTGGAAAGTCTCAGAATGTTTTACTTTGCAACTCAATCAACAAAATGGGCAAGTGAAAGGAATAGACACCTCACAGAAGAATAAGTATAAATTCATTAAATACATGAAGCAATATTCAATTGCTGCCCTTTAGAGAAACACAAATTAAAACAACTCTGACATTCCATCCTACCCCAGTGAAAGTGATTATCATCAAGAAATCAAATAATAAGAAATGCTTGAAAAGCTGCAGGGGAAAAGAAATTCTTCTACGCTGTTGGGGGGAATGTAAGCTAGTACAACCTCTCTAAAAATCAATATGGAGATTCCACAAAAAAACTAAATGTAGAAATTTTATTTAATCCAGTTATTTCCCATCTAGGCGTCTTCCCCAAAGTGTTAAGGATATCAAATTACAGTGAAACACGTGTACCCATGTTTATAGCAGCACAATTCATAATAGCTAAATCTTGGAAGCACCCTATAGGTCGATTAACAGATAAAGGGGTGAAGAAAATGGCACATTTATACACAATGGAGTACTATTTTGCCTAAAGAGGATTTGCCATAAAAAGGATAAACTTCAGTCATTGGTAGGAAAATGGAGGAAACTTGAGATTGTAATATTAAGTGAAATAAATCAGACACTCAAGCTGAAATATCACACTGTTTTGCTTCTATGAGAAACCCAGAGTAAAAATAGAGTAAAATAAAAATATACAATGGTAATAGGCAGAGAGATCATTCTCAAAGGGGAAAGGAATCAAGAGATAGAGCTGGGAAGGAGGAAAGGAGTAAGAGGTGAAGAAAAGAATCAGTCCTGGCTTGGAGGAGCATGCCTGTAATCCTAGCACTTGGAAGGCTGAGGCAGGAGGATTAATGTAAATTCAGCCTGAGCTATGTAGTGAGATCCTGTCTAAAAAGAAAGAAAAAGGAGGTAACCATTGTTGATTACCTTGTATTCTGTTTTTACATCATGTGCTATGTCCATCCTTTGTTTTGACGGACTGCCTTGTTTTGTCATATTTGGTTTTATTCTCTTCCAAAAAAAAAGTAATAAGAACTATGGGAGTAATACAAGCCAAAATGTGTAAATGTTGTTGTAAAAAATAGAGGGAAAAAATGCTTTAAAGGATACAATTGCAAGTGTGTTTAGGTGTGTAAGATAGATGACCATATTACTAAGCTTTTGTTGAATCTGTTTGCAGTCTCACTGTTTGAGTGTCCACTGTGTATGCTTTAACCCTGTAACTTGAACAACTATTTCTAAGATGACAATATGTAATCTATTAACTAGTGATTTCTTACTGTTTTTTAAATTCTGTGTTACTTGTACCCTTATACTGCTTTTTTCCTCCTTTAAATAAAATAAAAAATAAAAAAAGAAAGAAAAAGGGAATCTGGGTATGTGATGCACATGAACCAACTGCACACAAAGAATGTAAACACGTACTACAAACGAAAAGAAACAGGAGCAAAGGATGGGGAGGGGAGGGTAAGAAGGGAAAGAGGCTGAAAAAGGAATCAAGATGTGTGATGCACAGTACCAACACCCCACAAAGGAAACAGACACTGTGTACTCCACACATATACTAATTAAGTAAAATTTTAAAAATAAAAAGGAAAGATCATTTACTTTCCCAAGGTAAGTTTCCTTTGTGTTTAAGACTCGCACACAGATTTGAATAGCACACTTCAGAGGCAGTGTATGATAGTGGTTACGAACACAAATAACAAAGCCAAACAAACTTGGTGACATCCCTGCTTAAGTGCTTACAGGTTGTGTCGTCTTGACTCCCCCTGCCTCAGTTTCCTCACTCCCAAAAGAGGGACAATAATAACACAGATTTCTCAGTCAGGGTTGACACTCAGAGCTGAAACCTCCAGCACTGTGCTTGGCACTCAGCGAGTGGAAGGCTTGAGCAGAATATTCCTTTGAGCATCTCTACAATGCAAACACACACACATGCACACATGCATGCACACACACACTAAACACCAGAAAGGTCATGGAACTGGGGCCTCAGAGAATACTCAGCCCTGCACTTCACAGCACCTGCACACCACTCATGCTGCCCAGGTACTGTTCTCAGGGTTGCCGGGACCTCCTGCTCACCTTGGAGGCTGCAGGGGTGGCTGCTGTTGGACTCCTCGGACCTGGCAGCTTATCCGCACCTCAGGATTCCGGCATTCCTGACTGTGACCCACACACCCCTCCCCAGTGCACCTAGGCCCACACTGGCCTCTCCTCCAGGATGCCCTTCCCTCTCACATGCCTCCCACATTCTGTGCACTCTGAACACCTCCCCTGCTCCCTGCTAGGAGACAGCCAAATGTGGCTTCTTACATACTTACCCCTTCTATCTCGAAAGGCAGTCATTTCTCCCATTAGATGACAACTTTCTTCAAGGGTCAGGCCAGATACCTATTTTCATGGGGCTAAAGGAGTCCATTTATATTTGGGGAATGAAACAATGAACGTTCTAATTGATTAACGCATGGTGGTTCAGAGCTGGGGGGTTTGGTTCAAATCCTGACATTTCTACTTTTAAGCTATGTGATTTTAGCGAAACCAGTTAGCCTCTCTGAGCTCTACTCTGTGTGTATGTACAAAATACTATCTAGGCTCAGGTAAGATGTGGTTCCTGCCCATCAGAGAGCTCAGTCTAATGGTTGAGTCAGACATGAAACAAGCACTAAAACCCATAACAGCACATCGTAAAGCTACATCAAGAAAAGGAATAAATTATATTAAGAAAGAAATGAACAATAGATACTTTTTAAGACAATTGCAGAAAATTAGGATGGCATAAATATTAGACTATGTTAAGCAATTGTTGCAGGGGGCAGTGAGATGCTGAGTTTATGTTTTCAAGTCACAAACTAGTATTTACAGGTCAAGTGCTATGAGGTCTTAATTTTCTTTAAAATATATAAGCCAAAATTGGAGAAATTAAAAGATAGAGTTGTAATTATTTTTAAAGCTGATGATGCGTATCACAAGGTTTTACTGTCCTGTTGTGTCTATGTTTGATAATTTCTTTCTTTTTTTATATTTACTTATTTTGTCTTTTTGAGACAGGACTTCACTACGCAGTTCATTTTGCTTAGCTCATTTTGTAGCCCAGACGAGTCTGGAACCTGTAACTATCCTCCTGCCTCAGCCTCCCAAGTGCTGAAATACAAGTGTGCACCAGATAATTTCTTTAATAAAACGTTTTGTAAGAAAGTGACCTAAAGACAGCCTAATTGCTACAGGGCAGTCAGAGGACTCCTCTGATATTTGGGCTGAGACCGGAAGGTTGGGTAAGAGGAGCTGAGGGAAGATGAACGAGGAATATGCATTCCAGGCAGAAGGGAATGCAACGTGGTCAAGAAACTGGAAAGTGGCAGGGTGACCAGAGCAGGAAGGTCCAGAGTAAATAGGTGCCACACTGTACATCTCTCCCCTCTTGGCACCTACGGCAGGGGGCTAGCAGGAGCTCAGAGGGAACGGAGAGGAGTAGTCTGGCCCAGAACTCACTGCAGAAGGCTGCACAGGTGCGCTGGCTCCGATGGCCACAGGCCGGCTTGCAGGAGACACAGCTGCTCAGCAGGTTGTCCCAGTACTGCTCTTCGGGGCAAAGCCCCATAGCCACTCCCGGCCACAGGCCCTGCGGAGCTGAGAGGTGGAGAGAGTGAGGGCAGCTGGCAAGCCGGCGGGCACCCAGGCGGTTCTCCTGTCCGCATCCAGAGACCTCCCGCTGTCTCGGTGGGCAGGGGCGGTTAGACAAAGCTGGCTCCAGTCCCTGCTGCACTCACTGGGAGCCCCAGGGGAGTCCCCTCGCCTCCTCATCCTCGGCCCCTGCCCTCCCCGGTTCTGGGGGTCCCTGACTCCTCACATTGGCTGCACCCTGCCTGGTGCTGCTCTCTGCCTTCTTTTGTGCCACAGGATCCTTGCATAGGCTGCTCCCATAGCACAAACACTCTCTTCCCTTGCCGCCCCTGTGGCCAACTGCTTCCTCCTCCCCCTTGAGTCCTCTATTCAGACCCCACTTTCGCAGGGAAGGCTTCTGGCTTTCCCCACACTACGCTGAACACCTTCTATATATTCACAGTGATCACTTCCCTTTTGAGTGTAGTTATTTCACACTGTCCCCCTCACTAATGGTGGTTGTCCCGTGGTGGGGCCTATTCCAACCTTCCCCCCATTGCTGCATCCCCAGGACCTAGATAATGGATAGTGCTTAGCAAATATTAGGTGCTCAGTAAGTGAACGGGGTTTTGTTTTGTTTGTGATCCTCCTGTCTCAGCCTCTCAGAGTGCTGAGACTTGAGCCTGCACCACTGCACCTGGCTAAGTGATAGTATTATAAAGCAGGTCTCTCCATGCCTAGTCTGCGGCAAGCACTCAGAACCTATCAACTTCTGCTCATTCCTTTTACTAAGGTGTGCAACATGCACAATGACGCATGTACTGTGCGTACGTCTTACACATACAGACTGGCAATTGTATATACATTGCATCTTTGCAGCCCACATCAAGACTGAAATCATTTCCACTCCTCTGATGATTCCCTGGAGCCACCTCCCATCCGGTCTCTACTGCTGGGGGGATGCTGTTCTGATTTTATCCTGCTGTGGTGCTGAGATTTGATCCCAGGACATCACACATACTAGGCAAGTGCTCTACCACTGAGCTATCCCACCGGTTCTACTGTTCTGATTTTTTATCACCATGGGCTGATATTACCCATTCTGGAGCTTTGTGCTTGGCTTCATTTGCCCACATAATCTCTGAGCCTCCCGTGATGATGTCCTCAGCAGTCTATGTCACGGTGAGCTGCTATTCCACGAATGCATCATTCCCTCGTCCTGTCTGAGTGTCCCCTACCAATACTCCTCTTAAACATTTTGCCAGGCATTTGCTCATTCTTCAGCAAGAGCAGGCTGAGGACAGTGGGTCCCTGCCAACACAGCACCTTAAGCACTTCCTGCTGGAACCTGCGAGTCAAGTTCACCTGTCCTCAAAGGTCAGAAGGTAGAGAATGGGCAGAGATGGCAGCTGTTTTAGAGGTTGTAGGGCTGGAGGCTGAAGTTGGCTGCAGTGTAGATCTCTCCATGAGGATGCCCAGAGTAGGACGAGGTTGTCTGGAGCCAAAGGACTCCAGGACATCTCTAGAATTGGAAGCACTAAATTCTGGCAGGCAGTTACAGATCATCTGAGCATGGTGGTGCATGCCTATAATCTCAGCACTCAGAGCTGAGATTATAGAAGAATCACTGTCAGTTTGAGGCTAGTCTTGGCTACATAGTGAGTTCATGGCCATCTGAAATATACAGTGAGAACTTGTCTCAAAAAAAAAAAAATTAGGGATCACATGAGAGGTGAAGCCTGAAAGGACTGATTTGGAAATTGATATAAAAGGAGCTTTCCTCCAAGCACAGCCCCATTTCTAGGCGGGTGACAGCCCATTGTTCATCTGAGCATTAGACTGAGAGGCCTCCCCAAGGCACAGCTGAGGTAGCAAGAAGTCTTCCCTGGCAACAGACGGATTGAGTGAGAATTTTCCTCCTATCAGTCTCCCCATTTCCCACTCACCCTGAGGGGGGCCGAGGCTAAGCCTATTAACACTCCTTCCTGCTCACTCTGCAACTGGCTGGTAAGCTGCAGATACTGTCCTGGAAAAAGGGACCAGAAGATTTTTTAGAGGGACTTCCAGTGAGAAAGTCTCTCAAGACAACAGCCAAGTCCCGGAATGATCACACTGGCACAGAATATCTGCACCAACCCCCCACTTATCCAGGACTTGCAATCAGCAGCTCAGGGTTGCCCGCTATGGTAGCACCATTCCTGACCCACAGGAGAACTCAAGCCACGCATGTGGGGGTACATGGAGCCAACCGAGATGAAGCAGGAACTAGAAGAGTAAAACCAGTAACAGCAACAGTTGATATCCTCAGGAGTATAAAAAAGGTCACCTTCCTGAAAAATAATAGTGCACTCTTTTCCAAGAAGAACGTTCAAAAGAATTACTAGAACTATAAAATGTAGTCATCAGAATAAAAACATAGAAGGACAGATGTAGGAAGATGTAATTGAAGAAATTTCCGAGATGTGAAGTGATAGAATCATTTCAGGATGTCTGACAGCTGATTAATGATTGAGAGGATGTAAGTTTCCAGTTAAATGAGCTTAAAAGTCCCACCAGGATGTGAGGACACTAACACCAGGGAAGAGGTGGAACAAGAAGCTCAATCTGTTCTCTAAAAAAAAAAAAAAAAAAAAAAAAAAATTCTGTTATTCCTAGTAAGCAAGTCCAGCTGACAGAGGCCAGTGGAAGGAGCTACTTTGGAACTCTGGGGCTGCCCAGTGCAGGGTTGGGCTAAAAGGCTGGTAAATTTCAGAATTCTGGTGAATTTCAACCTACAACACAATGGTAGTTGCCATTCCAGTCCCAGCCCCAGGAAGGAGGCAGTGGGATGTTGCCCCAGTTTCCAGTACAGGTTGGTGGTACCAGGGTGATCAATAAGTCTTGTCCTCCAGTATTGGGGCTGCAAGTCCTGATTGCTGATTGCTGGTTTGGATCACTAAGTGGGGGCAAGGGGAGGGTCAGTGTAGTGCTAGTAATTATAATCTCCATCCCCCAGGGCTGAAGTGGCTTCTGAGGGACATAAGGAGACACTACTTTCCTTCCTCTTGGGAGCCAGACATGTGGGGAATCTTTGACAGTACGCTGGCTAGACAGAGAGAAAGAAAAAATGAGTGATCAACTCAACAAGAAATACACATTGCTTAAAAATAGTTCAATCCAAGTATCGTGGTGCACACTGGTAATCCCCATACTTGAGAAGATGAGAGAGGAGGATTGCTGCAAGTTCAGGGTCAGCCTTGGCTACAAAGTGGATTCAAGGTTAGCATGAGCTACACAGTGAAATCCTGTTCTGGAAAAAGGAACTTGTAAAAGTCACAATCAACTCCAGCCCTTAACAAGCAAGATTTAACTGCTAGGGAGTGAGAAAATCAGATTTCTAGAGCTGTTGCAACATAATAATCAAAATATACAGTTCTCAAGAAAATTGCAAAATATATAAAGAGGCTGGAAATATTAGAAAATAAAGAATTTGACAGTAAGCATCTCCAGGGAAGTTATATATCTGAATAATCAAGTCAAAGATATTGTTAAATCAGTGATCTTAAATTTATTCAATACACTGAAAGAAACCATGGACAAAGAATAAAAGAAACTATAGAAAACTGTGTAGGAACAAAATGAAAATATGAATAAAGAGGTAAAAATTGTAAGAAGGAATCAAACTTTGGAAGCAATCAAGAACACTTCAGTAAGGGCTGGAGGTTTAGCTCAGCAGCATAAGCGCCTGCCTTGCAAGCAGGCAGTCGTGAGTTCAATCCCCGGTACTGATAAAAAGGAAAAAGACAAAAAAAAAAAAAAAAAAGAAGAACACTTCAGTAGATTAATGTATAAGCAAACTGTGGTCAATCCAAACAACGGAATATTATTCAGCATGAAAAACAGCCAAGCTGTCAAGTCATGAGAAAACATAGAGTAACTATCGATCCATATCACTAAGTGAGAGAAACCAAGCTGAAATGTACTGTGTGATTCAACTTTAGGACGGTCTGGAGAAGTCCAAACTACAGAGGTTAGTGATTGGCATTGGTTGGGAAGGGAGGGATGAATAGATGGAGCAGTGAAATTATTTTGTACGGTGCCATGATGGTGGATATATGTGGGTATATTCTTGTCCAAATCCATGGAATGTGCACCACTGAGAGAGTCCTTACACCCATAGACTTTGGGTGATAAGGATGAGTAATCAAGGGTTCATTGATTCTGACCAATATATCACTGCAGTGTGGGGTGCTGGATGAGGGAGGCAGTGTGTGCAGGAGGGAGGGCAGGAACATCCGGGAACTCTCTGTGCGTTCTGTTCAGTTTTTCTGTGAACCTAATAAGTGTTTTACATATATCTATATCTATCATTATTATTATTATTAAAAAGGAACCAAACAGAAATTCTGAATCTAAGAAGTCGACCAGAAGAGTTTATCAGCAATTTTGAATAAGGGAATAAGCAGGGAACTCAGAGATAAGTCACTAAATCATTGTCTTCAGAAGAGCATTTAAATTTTAAAAAGAATTTTTAAAATTTTTAAAAGAATAAGGAGAAGAGTAAACAAGCCCCGAAGGATCTATAGGACCCCCTATCAAACATATGCTCATAGGAATTCCAGAAAGAGGAGAAATAAAAGGGCAAAAAATGGGCGTGGTGGCACATGTCTGTAATCCCAGCACTCAGGAGGCTGAGGCAGGAGGATCGTTGTGAATTTGAGGCCAGCCTGGGCCACATAGCTGGTTCAAGGCCAGCCTGAACTACACAGTGAGACCATGTCTCAAAAACAAACAACCAAAACAAAACAACCAACAAAATAAAAGGGCAGAAAAAAATATTTGAATAGTTCCCCCAAATATTAGCATATTGAATCCAACAACACATCAAAAAAATTATTCACCGTGATCAAGCAGGATCCATTCCCAAAATGCAAGGGTGGTTCAACATATGTAAATCAGTGACTGTGATATATGACATTAACAGAATGAAGGCCAACAGCCATGTGATCATCTCAGAAGACTTAGAAAAAGCATTTATGACAATTTAA